ATTTTTGAGATACATTACAGTTCCTTTTCTTCTTTTTTTATTCAACAACCAAGTTTTATGATAAACCTGATGACTTTATCTTTTCAACCGTCAACTTCCATTACTTATGCAGCAATATACCTTCATCACCTGCATACGAGGTTTTATATATCTCTCAGCTGATTCGATACGCGAGAGCATGCAAGTACGTATTATATGAATAATTTCTAAAACGAGGTAAATTATCCCCCCCCCCCAAAAAAAAACAAGTTGCTGGTACAAGAATATCAGCAGTCTCGTTTGAAGTCATTATTTCTTAAGTTCTTGGTCGTTACAATTACCTTGTCAGCAAATACAATTTATCATTGTGTCCAATGCTGACTGATGTTTTTCATACTACAATGGAATTGCTAGACCATTACGTACATGTACAATGTATATACAAACTGAATTGTTGACAGATTTTTCCTTTTATTCCCGATCATGACTCGGAGCCCACGGCGGGGGGGGGGGGGTGTGACCGGTCGGCAGGGATGTTCACTCCTCTATGGCATCTGATCCATCCTCTAATATTTTGGAGGTCCGTGTTTGCTCTGCTTCTATTTTGTATTGTTTAATGGACTTTTGAGCTTGAATACCATTATCTCCATTTCGTCAGGTCAGGAATATCCAACTTTCATCTCCGGTTTCACCGATTAATCTTCTTTTTTCCCATGCAAGAAGTACATCGGCTTTAATACGGCGGATGTGCATGACCAGCCAACAGAGTATGCTTACTCCTCCATGGCACCTGGTCCCACCTCTGATGTTTGGAAGATAAGTGTTTGCTTGCTCCCGATTTGTATTTTTTAAACGGACATTTGATCTTGAATACTTTGTTATCTCCATATATTTCATACAAATTTTTTAAAAAATTGACAATTCCTTTTTCATTTGAATTTACAGCTACAGGGGAAAATTCACCCATGACTCTCCCTTCCTTTATTTGATTGATTGATTGTATATCGTTTAACGTCCCTATTGAGAATTTTTCACTCATATGGAGACACCACCATTTGCCAGTGGAGAGCTGCAAATTTTGTCCTATACTCGGCACTCAGGGCCACTAAGCAGGGAGGGATCTTTTTCGTGCCAACACCTACTGCGACACTGGGCCTCGGTTTATACGGTGTCATTTGAAGGACCGGTCTCCGTGACCCACAGTGGGATTCGAACACGCTACGTAAGGATCATCTCCTTACTTCAAAACTCTAGTGCAGACGCTCTAACCACTGCGCCAAGCGGGAAAGCTTTCCTTATTTCTATACAAAACAAAATATTTTGCTCTCTACTCTTCCCTCTTAATTCCTGAACAAACTTCTACTTTTCAGGTTCTGATAGTCGACCGCGTGGCGCAGTGGTTAGGGCGTCTGCTCAAGAGTCGCGAAGTAAGGAGTTGATCCTTACGTCGCGGGTTCGAATCCCACTGGGACGTGCAGACATGTCCTACGGATGAGACGTTAAACAATATACAATCAGTCAATCGGGTTCTGATACGGTTCATTGCTTGCGTTTTTCAAATTCAAATTCATCTTGACCATTCCAACATTCTTCATTTTATCACTATAATTTGTTAGATTGGTCATCATTTAATCGCATATTTGTGGTAAACGTTCAGGGTCAATAAATGTCTTCATTCCATATGGATGCAAAATCCCCTGACAACTTTTCTCATCATGACTTTAAACTTTGAATTTTTGCAGAAGAGGATTAATTTTTAAATGCAACAATGTCTATTCCATGAATGTGTTAATTCATTTTATGAGAGAGATGGAAAGAAAATCCACACTTTATCCCCTATAGGAAATTCTTGTCTCTCTGCATTCTTGTTTTGATTTTGTTTCCCTTTTAATCTTATTATCAACTTAATATTAAGAAAAAGGTCTTATTTAATCGGTGAAATTATAAAATTTTGTAATAATTGACATCATTATATCTATGCGTTGGTTCAGACAGTTGTAAATATCTTCTTTGTACAACATACTTCTTTCAATAATGAGATTTAACCACTAAAGGTTAAATCTGTTTATCAAAGTGAAATAAATATTTGTGGTCTGGCTTGGTCGAAAATGCATCGGGTTCATTGGGCAATTTGTACGGTATTTATCAGTTCCATCTATAGTTTGGGGATATCAGTCGCACCTAGCAAGGTAACTCTGACGTCACGGCACTTATTCGTCATCAGTCTGTGCTGAAACTTTTACCCACCCTGCCACCCCTATCAAACAAAGGTCGACTAGGATTTCTAGAATTGTGTGTTTCCAATTAAGTTAGGTTTTTGCAAAAACCGTAATTATAAATTGGCATACCTAATAGAACAATATCTTTTGGAAGAATTTGTGGTGTAATGATAAACATTGTCAAGTAAAAGAATTTTAAAAATGCATATTTTATTTATCTAATCAGTTATTCATTCTTTAAAAAATGTTGACAAGGGCAATAACTCCTTCTATTCTAAGGTCTCTTCTTTCAGGTAGTTGCTTTATTGTACCTAATGTAAAATTTTTTATTCACAATTCAAATTGTATTTTTCAAACATCCATTTTAACCAGTTTCTACATATTTTTCATAATACTGCAAAAAATCATTTTTTTACAAGGTACACTTCTGTTTATTATGTTTATTATCTTAAATATCTTATCATCTTAAATAATATGGTGACCTATACATTTTTTGCAATAACTTGAACATTTGAAGTATATTAAATGAAAATAAATCAGTTCACGCAAGGCATGCAATATAAATTGGCTACATACACATTTGTGTGGCTCATTGAACTCTTTTTCAGCATTTTAACAACTTCAACTTCAATGGGTTTACAACCTTACATATCAGAAGATCCATATGGACATTTATCTTTTTCAGCATTTTAACAAATGTTTTTAAGTATGGACTAGTCAGTGGACATCTGTACCCAGGGTTCACACTTTCTTAGGATGCCATTACAAAAGGCAGTATATTGATGCCTCGGCTCCTGCATTGAAGCGGCCGTGGCCCATTCAGCCAAATAAAATACTAATCACTCAGTACTATTGTTATTATGCTGTTTGGCACAATAATTCAACTAGTAATCCCTGCTTTAGGGTTATTTCATATTTGATAATTAATTTCATAGAGACCTGAAGAGCTGGTACAGGAACTACTGTTCGCTAAGCTGTTCTTCACGTCCTGTTTGAGAATTTTTCGCTTATTCAGGGACGTCACAACATATAGTGAAGGGCTTCAATATGTATTGATCAAACAAACTCATCTACTGAAATATAACTTCCGTCTTAATGCTTTGCCAAAGTCACAAGTGATTCGTATGGTAAGACCTTTAACTATTTATTCGTGAAATAAAAAAAATCTTTCAATAAGAGAGATATCTCTCTAGCACAGAGAGATATCTCTTTAGCTTATAGAGATATCTCTTTGACTAATTGAAATATATTTATACCTTAGAGAGATATCTCTTTAAACAAAAGAGATATACGTAGAGAGATATCTTTATAAGCTAGAGAGATATCTCTAAAAGTTGGAGAGATATCTCTTTAAAAGGTTAAAGAGATATCTTTCTTAGTTAGAGAGATATCTCTTTAGATTTTCAAAAAGAGATATCTTTCTAAACTAAAGAGATATCTTTTTTAATGAAAGAGATATCTCTTTTCCAGTCATCCTTAAAATAAAATAATTAATTCTCCCATTTAAAACGAAAGCGAAACGGAAGTAAAGTCTCTGTAATAATTTTGTTGTTAAAAGAAAACGGACTGAACATGCAATACCAAGAATAATATATGTACTATGTAGACAAAAATGTTATACATCCATTGTTTGAAACAACAAATAATAATGGCAGCTTCGTTGATAAAAATGCTAAAAGTTTAATATTCAGGAAAACGAAAGTAAGCATAAAATCTCAAATGCAATGGAACGAATTTTCTCAGCTTATGAAATATTACTAATTTGAAATCTAGACAACACTGAATTACTTGTCATGTTTAGTAAAGCTATTAAGTAGAATATCATAAATATGTTGAAATTTAAAAATACGTTAATGTACTTCCGTGAATAAAAAGCTTACTTCCGGTAAAGGGAGAAGACATTTCAAATGGAATTTAAATAAAAATAATGAAGAGAGATATCTCTTTCCAATAAAGATATATTTCTTTTTACTTGAGAGATTTCTCTTTTTGACACTTTTAAAAGATATCTCTTTCACTTTGAAAGAATCTCTTAAGATAAACTAAGAGAGATATCTCTTTCACTTTAAGTGTTATCTCTTTAACTTGGAAAGATATCTCAAAAAATTAAAGAGAAATCTCTCTAGGTAAAAGAGATATCTCTTTAACATTCAGAGATATCTCTTCACGAAAGAGATATCTCTCAACGAGTAAGAGATATCTGTTCAAGTAAAAGAGATATCTCTCCTATAAAAAGAGATATCCCTCTAAGTTTAAAAGCTATCTCTTTCTCATAGAGATCTCTCTTTAAGTTGGGTCATTCATCTTAAATCATTCAATAATAAACCACCACCTTACATCTATTGTTATCCCTCATCGTTCAATTTGGAAGAAGACCCAAAGAATGCAAGCCATCAAAATTGACTTGGAGTCTGCATGTGTCCTACATTTTTTAGAATTTTTTTATTCCCAAATTGCCTGTTTGAGCAGTTGTTGATTGAGCCAGGACAGGTAAATAGTAACTCAATATCTTCTCCTTTTGCAGATTCTTTCAACAGGAAATTCAGATAACCTACCCTATTCTAAACTGTTCCTTCTATATTTCAAAGACGTAAAATATTTGAAATCTATAATAAAATAGTTATAAACATATACTTTATCCTTATATGGCTGTTACTTTTTCAGGCACTATTAAAGTACGTCACTTTCAGTACTTTGATTAGTAAACTACCATGTGTTTTCCCTTCTTCAGCAATCTGGAGGTGTATTCTACGTGACTCATTTCAATTTTATTAATTCAAAATAAAAAGAAATCAAAATTAATAATATTTTTCATTTATTTTTATTGTAGTAAAAACTAGTACAAAACAAAGTTTCAAAAAGGGAAGTGGAAAATCTGGATATGAATGTTGGAACAACTTGACAACAAGAAATATGCCCAATAAGAAAAGAAGAGGAATCTGAAACATGATAAAATACACCATGCTCACATAATAACATGATTGTCACTAAACATGTTGAATTCAGATGGACATGACTTTTATTCAAATTAGCAAAAGTGATCTACAAAAGCATTCTTTGGAAATGAGGCACAGGGACCTCAACACATATATTTGGGGAAAAAACGATTGTCAAAGATTTGTTACAATATATTGCTTTCCCTCAGAAAAATTTAAAATTATTATGATTTCTTTATACTTACATAAAATGGAAATTGTGTTTTACTTCTACCTTAATATTTAAACATGGATACACATCTCAAAATAAAAAAGTAGGATTAAGGTAAAAATATATGAAGAAAATAGTAATTGGGGGTTCCAAATCACTTTGACATATCCAAAGTATTAGAGATATTAGTGCTTAAGACACAAAAATTTCACTGTCCTCAGTTGCAGTCAGTTGGACATACAATAAAAACCGGATGCTTGTTTGTTTAAAAATTCTTTCTGTGTGCTACTTTCCTCTACCTACACACATCCTGTTTTATCATGAAGTTTATATAAAAAAAAAACGTGACATGATTTTACAGATAATTAAAAGTTCATGGATAAATCATGTACATGTACTTCTGTCTGGGAAGATCAAAGTTCATATTTCCAGTCTTAAAAACATGATGGAAGTTAATATACATTTTAATTTTCAAATCTATCAGTTTTGTGTTTTCCCACAAAGAACATACAATGATGATGAATTGATAGAAAACCACATCCTTATCAATTAAAGATATCAGAAAATTAGAATTTTTGAATATTTTCACCCAATCTGATCTGAGCTAACATAATCACTTAATCTTTCATACTTTTTCAACATTTTCTTCTTGATGTGTCTATTTTACTGTATATTTTTAATTTTTGCCTTTTTTCAGGTGTTTAAATGTAATATAAATTTCTTTCAGAAACCTTCACCTGTTGGCCACAGATGGCACTCAAACATGTATCTATGTTCCTATCATAGTATATCATTCCTTGGCTATTCAGTGGTTGAGCCCGAGTCTTAAATCTCAAATCAAAGTAAAACAAGGGTACTGACTGGATGTAATATTTTAACTGCTAGGACTTCTAACTGTATGATTAGAATTAATATTTTAAGTACTTTAACTCATAAACTTATGATATGTGTGAAAATAAAGCCAGGTTCCATCTTGCAAACAACTGAGAAACATGATTATAAATTATCTGATTTAGAAACATTAAGGTTAAATTGAGTCTAGAGACTAGACATAAAAAATGGGCCTTTTTTAAAATTATGCTTATTTTCCTCTTTTTTTGTCTAGATAAACTTGGTTAATTGCTTTTTAAGTGTATTCCCCTTCAATAACTATTTAGATGTTTGCTTATATAGACAATATTCTACAGCAAATCATTGCTTGTAAAAAAAATCCACTCAAGTTGAAATAAAATGAGAAATGACAACTATAGAGTTTCATCCAAAAATTTCCATAAATTTTGGACATAATGTATTATAATACACATGTAATGAAACATGATACAAAAATGTAACAAATGTAACAAATATGATCTGTTTTTTGCATCTCACAAAACAGATGTCATGAGCATATAAATATCAAAAAACAACTTCATTCTATATACATGCCTGAAAGCTTTTGACTAGAATTTGAGATCACAGGAGTTTATATTTACAAATAAGCAACAGTTCATTTTTTGAAGTTAAAAAACTTCCCATCATGCTTTGGAACTTGACGTTGTATTGTTCAGTAACTGTAGATATAAGTCAGATTCAAGAAAACGTGGGTAAGAGTCTTTCTCCATTAAAGCTTGAATTTTTTTCTGTGCATCCTCAAATGTATGTCTTGTGGGATGTTCTAAGTTTGTCACAGTTATCATTCGTGTTTTGGAATCCAAATTGATCTGGAAAAAATAATTTCAATCCATTAATTACTACATTCATCAAATATATTATAAGTAACAAAAAATATATAATTCCAAAAAACATCAGAAAATTTTTTCTAAAGAAGACTAATTATCTACCTCTTTCGGTGCCTGAACGGCCACAAAGTCGCCATAGATTTTCTGACTCTGGGTGGGAAGCATTTTGGCGTCTTCACACTGTTTATACTCCTGACAAGCGATCCAGAACTCGAGGTTTTCCTCGCTGAATTCCGACCGTAAAAAGCCTCGGAACAACTCTAAACCACCTGTAAAAAAACGAAAGTAAAAATTTACAATTTCTGCCAGTATCAAACTTTTTAAAATTCATAAGTCATGCAATCTTTTAAGTTTTTTTTTTTGATAATGTGAGAACTTGTACCTTTATCGTTAAGTAGACTGTCGAAGGACCTGCTCCACCTCTGAGCCTGGTCAGACGAGGGACGTATAAAGGACGGGGTGTGACACTCTCCTCCGATCGCAGTATCTGTGTTCCTTCTTCTCAGGAACTGAAATTTCTTTTTCATATTCTTGGCTCTGAAATTAAGAAAAATTGAAATACATTAATTTGCAATCATAACAAAACTGTCAAACAAAAATTTAAAAATAAAAAATTTGCAGATGCAAATAAAAATTGAATTTGAATTTTTACCTCTTGTGAATTCGCATTTTAATGAAAGACATTATTCCATGCATTCTTCAACATTAATGACGAAAACATACATATACCACTATATTTATATCATATAAGATGGAACCTAGTGACAATCCCTCCTGGTTTAACCAATGGAAACCATTGGGTATGAGCTACCAACTAATCAATCGCAGAAGGAGTGTTAAGCATAATTTACAAGTTTGCTTTTCTACAATTAGCACTCTCTTTTCTTAAAGACCATTTGACTCATTGTTCAAAAAGTGGTCCTTTAGAAATGCATGTACACACAAACATAAAAAATTTTTGTAGGTATACATGAACTTTGATTGAAAGAATAGAAAGTCCAAAAAATTTACAGAAAACTAAGATTGCCTTACTATCTGATTTTTCTTTTTATATCAAATGAGAAATAAACAAGACAAGTCATGATACTTGCAAAATTGAACATATAGTCATTTAATTTGAAATAAACATGACAGTTTTGGTAAAAAAATCATATTAGAACAATTGGCGAACAAGAGACAATTCCCTCCATTCAATTCTATATACAGTTCTTTATTGCCCCTGCAATTCAGTCATACAACTCTAAATTATTTTATCACACCTGTAATTGTAATTATAAAACAGACAATACTGGCAAAATCTATTCCTGTTGGTGAAACCCAAAATTCACTCAAAATCTTGCAAGTTCTGCCCTTCAAAATAACTTTGTCAAATTGCATGTACTATTCACAATTATCCTTGGTAACATAAAACATATTCTCTATCAGGAAAATAAACCCAATGCATAACCTAATAACCTCTTCATAATCTTGCCAATCAAACCTAAGACTTTTAGCAAGCACATTCAGGAATGGACAGAAGAATAAGTGCAAAAATTAGTGAATTATCTTCCTGGTGCCCTTTAAGGTTATACTTATGACAGAAATCAATTTTCTTGCACCACTGCCAGAGCTTTTCTGTCTCTTTCTGACAACTGCAGCAATTGGTGTCACCATCTTTGACCTAGTAACAGCAAAATCCCTAAATACCATGTGATGCTGACAGTTATCTGAATTGTTTTCCATAAATGGGGAGAAACAGCGGAAACCTTAGAGTAGGGACAAACACCTTTTCTTATAGATGTTTCAGAAAAGGCAAATCAATCAAGAAACTTGAAAATTCATTTAAGATATATTAATTAGTTTGTTCACATTCCTTTTGAGCTGTCTTATTCTGATTAACAGTCTTTCCTTGATAATCAGGTGACAGTTGACCTTTAATTGACTTCTAGATGTCGATTTTAAAAATTGAGAATATGGCATTTTTCAGTGAACATTAAATATATATCTCAGAAAAAAACTGCAATTGAAAGGTAAAATAGCCTATATATATATCCAAAACTCTATAATGATGAAACAAAATGGTCAGACATTGTTGCAAATAATTCTTAGTTTTTGGTGTATTAGCTCTAACAAATAACACGAATTTGAAACTAGTTTTAAGCTTTCAAAATTCTAAAGACTTGAAAACTGTAAAACCTAAAGTAGAATCCATCTAATGTATAAAGAAGTAAAAACATGCAATGTCTTCCAAGTTCGAAAACAACAAAGTAAACAAACACACCTGATATAAAACTCACACCAGCAAAACAGGTTAAGTACATGTGGGAAGAATCTTAAAAATAGAGTTAACTTATCCTTAAAAACAATACAGTGAACTTACAAGTTGCTGGACTTTTTGTGGCGAGACTGTGAGTTGTTTTCTTCAGTTCCCATCAGGGCTGCGTCTGCTGAGCAGGTCTTGTAAACAGGTTTTCTAGCCGAACACTCCTTGCCTTCCGAACTGTTTCCAATCAGTCGTTGACTGAAGACTGCTAGCTCAGAAGCACGGCTTTCCAACTGCAATAAGGAAGTGTGAAAACTTCTGTTTAAAGTGGCGAAAGAATATTCAGATGTACACATATAACTTAACTGTAACATTCAAGCTAGTACTAATAAAAGCAAAAGTAATATATCTCATAGGCTGTAGTGCAATCAAGATTCAAAATCCACCCGAAAAGCCAAGAGGCAAAAGTGATATAGATTACAATGATGATGTATTATCAATTAACAATTGTTACTTTCATTCATATATTGACTTGATATATCCCAATGAACTTGAAATAAAGGACACCATGGAGTTTTATACATCTGCTTCTTATTTGGAAATTCTTTTAGAAAAATACATTAATGATAACCAAACAACAGAACTTTATGATAAACATAATGACGTCAACCTTTCTATCATCAGTTTCCCTTATGTAGCACATTCCTATCTCCTGGGGTTTGGAGGTTTTGGGTCTAGCTCCTAATTAATTCAATACACAAGAGCATGTTCTATGATATCAGATATCAAATGTCTTCTTTCAAGTCTACATTTTGCAAATACTATAGTCCATATACAATGTCCTTGTCAACATTACTGGTAAGTCAAATGCTGACTGATGTACATTTTTCATACTCATTGTTACCCCATTATTTAAACAATGAATTGTCTAGATTTTTCTGTTTGTCAAATCATGACAAAAAGCCTACACTGGATGTGACTGGTTGACAAGGGAATGACTTCTTCTCCATGGCCCTGATCCCATGTCTGGTATTTAAGAAGTCCATTTATTCGGCTCCAAATTTGAATTATTTCAATGGACTTTAGAGCTTTATTATTGTTCGTTATCTCGACATTTCATTAAAATGCCATCTTCTATGAAATTTTTCTTATTTTTTCTGTATCATCAGAAACTGACCTATATCAAGGACATAATTAATTCTTATACCGGGTATATATGCCATTCATTGAAATAAAAACTCCATGCATTCTTAAAAACCAATTAAATTTTACACCCAAAATTGAAATAAAAATCCATAAGTTAATCAATAAAATTGTAAAAAAAATCTGACAAACATTTTGAAAAAAATTGTTTAAGCTTTTCTGTTGTATAACAAATACGGCAACAACAAAGTTCCAAACATTATGACCAAATGGTATGGACAACAAATTAATATAAATTTATCGGTCGATGAAGTTTATAATAATAGTGCCTGGGGTATGGACGATCAGTATCAAGAAAACAACTTGTTTACATTTTCCATTAAGTTGTAACTGGTCAACATAATAGGTCTGACCAGAGGCCTAATTGTGAAGCAATCCTTTTTAAGTATAAATGGTCTATAATGAGATGTCGGTGAGAATTGGTACCATAATAATATGATGCTCGAACAAAGCCAGATCACAAATAGAATCTGTGAGTCCAACAATGCTCCTGACAAGGGCAGAAAAATATTTTCTCCTTTCCTCACTGTCAATATTTGCCCATAATGAGAGATGAAACCTTTGGCAATTGATCATGTTACACAATGGATACACAACATGTTTTCCCGATAATTTGTTCCAGGATCGTTTGCTAAATGCCGATTAAAACAAACAATTTTTGCTTTTAATCTGCAATCATGCAAGTAAACAGGCAATGTACTTTCAGCAGGTCAAACTTCTTCAAATAACACATGAGGTTTCATTTTTTTACTAATCATTATATTTTATTTGGTTATATGTTCCTGACACTGAAGACTACATCTCTATTCTCTAGCATTGCATTTTGCTATTCAGAAACTAGTTTACAATTAACGTTCCTTACCAAAATATGCTCATGTTAAAATCTAAGCATATTATATTAAAATTTAAAGAAGGAAAATGTACATTCATAATTTTTTGGCACATTGAGTATTTTATTTATTATACTGATTTGCACATAACAAATCTTGGAATTTATAATTTAAACAATTATAAAAAAAAAGTGAGGCCCTTCTCCCCTATTCCCATTGTGAGTGTTATGACTTTTTGGTGAGTTATTGTTATTTTTGGACACTATAGAAATGTACAGAATTAAAACAATTCTAACCTAAATCCAGCCATGTACAAAGCTCTAAATCTATCACAGTAAAAGGGGAATAACTCTCATAGAAACTGTGCACACTGTTTTCTATACAGGTACTTCTCTTTGAGAAAAAAAAAATCTTGAATGACTTTTTCTTGACATTTAGAAGTGATTATTAGAAAAAATACAAAAAGGTAATAACATTAATATAAACTAAGAGTGATATTTAATTTTTTTTCCTAAGACCTTTTAATTATGGTGGTAGCCCCGAGTGTTTGCTTTGTGGGAGGTGGGGTGTAAATTACATTTGTTACACTAAAGAATATCCCAGTCTGCTCATTGACTATCAGTTTTGAGTATGGGCCATCACTGGCATATATATGCATGAAAGTCTCAAGCCACTGTCTGGAGTAAACACATATAGCTAGCTCTCTCCTACACACGGCTGCTTGATCACGTAAAGTGTCCTATAGCTTAAATATTACAACTCTATTGTGAATGTCATGTCCAAGCAAAGATATTTTTTCCATCACAATCGAAATCAACAGTTGTATATCCAATGTTTCAAAATTTATTGATTTTAAGGTGAAGTAAAAATTTATTTTCATTTCTTGTTTATTGTTGTGTCAAAAAATAATTAAACCGTTAAACAAACATATATCACATCAATAACTACTATGGAATCACTAAAATGATTCATGATCGAGTGCCATTTTTTGCAGACTGTCAAAAACTTTATAAGCTCGGGGAATGTATTTTTTGAGAGGTACTTGATTTATTATGAAAAACATATTGCATATAGATTAACATTTATCCAGATAATAAATTGGTTGGTTATAAGGGGTACCCACAAATACTGTAAAACACTAAACCTCCAGGAAATACCGTATAAGTAGAAATTTTAGCGAGACACAAATTTAGCGATTTCTACCTAAAACTGGTATTTTTTTTTTTTTTGCGGGAAGTAGTTGAAGGGATTTTAAAATGCTAACTAAAGAAGCTATTACAAATAATACGCAATTAATTTTTAGCGATATTCAATTTTAGCGATGTCAGAACCCTCGATAATAATGCCAAAATTAAATCCTCGCTAAAAACTCTACTTATACGGTATAATTCACACTTGCTCCTCCCTCTGAAGATGCTGAATAGAGTACACAAATGGACTGTTATTGGTACATGTATGTAATTCATCTACTTCACTAGAAATACAATGATCTCTGGTCATACAGAGACTGTGAAAGTTACAACTTTTATCTACAGAATGAGAATTATCTCAAGAGGTCTGAGTATACTGAAATATAAATCAATATTAACCAATGTTGATACAAGTCACCATTCCTACAGTTATTCCTATGGTTTCTGACAGATCAGATGTATATAGGTATTACATCATGAGAAGGTCATCACCTGGATTAAGCACCAATAAAACTCAGAGGTTTATACTTCCTCAACCGGCAGTTAGTGCAAATAGGCCAATAGGTACTCTCTCTCTCTCTCTCTCTCTCAGTAACTTTGGGGAATCAAACTTTCTATTCAATAAATCTTGAGAATTTAACATCCCTTAAAATAGATAGCATCGGATACTTTCATAAATTTCAAGATATAAATTTAAAAGTTGTAATTCTCAATTCTTATCAGAAAATTTGAGAGGGGCAGGGTTGAAATTTTTATCAAACATTAGGCTGTTGGAAGTTGAAACTTTCAATACTTTGATGAATTTATGTCGTCCCCTTTCACATCAACATCTCAAAAGGAACACTTATCAAGGTACACATGCTTTTTTAAAATGCACCTTCACATTTTTTTTGGAGGGGGAGAGGGGGCTTTATTATTTACTATACTAATTTTAATATATATTACTTAATAATAATTTAAATGATCTCTATGGATATTTTAAAAAGTTATTCTATAGAAATTTTCTATTTATATTACATAACTATATATTACTAGTCACCTGAAAAAAAAGAACATTTCCTCAGAAGGATTTAGCTTTTTTTTTGTAAAATCGAAACAATACAGAATATCCTAGACACTTACTGTATCTTCATCGTCTGTGCTCTTCTCCAAAAAGTGTGTAGGAATGTCTTTTTCACAGCCTGCACTCTGACTACGCCTTAGGGGTCTGGTAATCATTCGACGGAACCGCCTCTTTTTGGAATCTTTCTCTTTCTTCGTATATTTCTGTTCCTTATTCAATGAGAGCTGTGAGGTTTGGGACTCGGACTCTGAAGCCTCGGTTGATGAGTCACAGTGAAAAGACGGTCTATTTCCTGAGGAAACACTGTCAAATGACTTATCACAGTCTGTGGATCCGAACGAGTCCGCGGGACTGCTGCAGTCCTGGGCCTTGGTGCGGCTAATTCGGCGCTCCATCATACGCTGCCGCCAGTTCTGTTTAATGTCCCTGACACCCTCGTTTTCACTGATTGCACATTTCTCCTTCAACTGACCAGATAAGTCGGTGGACTTCAGTCTCATTTTGTTCCCAGGATTGGTGAGCTTCGTGGCAAAGTCCTGAGCGTGCTCACTAGAATCCTCCTGTTTGGGATTTGTTAAATTTCGCACAAAGTCACTCAAATCAGTGCTGATTTGTTTTGATATGGGGGAGGTCGATTCTTCTAAGTGGACTCCCTGTAAGAAAAAAAAACAATCTTAAACTATCGGTGTTGATAGAAAAAGAGAAGCACTTGAAAGAAATAGAGAAGCTCTTTCAACACATGCCTGATCAAAGCTTTTTTCCCCCTTCTAAACTGTCAAAATCTTATCCATGGCAAGTTCTAAATATCCCAAACATGCTGGAATTTTGAACCTTATCAAATCTACACGAACAAATATGAATTCCTCCACTTCATAAATTCATATTACATGTTGTCAGCCCCACAATATTTTGACAGGTTGCTAATTCCCCATCAAAGATTCTAGAAGATACATGCCAACATAAAAATATGAAACATAATAACATTTTCTTCTTACTGATATATTTTCCAGAAAAAAAAATTCCAAAGCAAGAATACATGTATATACCATTTCTTATATTGGAGAGAGAATGGAACAAAAACTGCTGAAGTGCATTCAATAAATGGTGTCAATATTCCCTTATAAAAATGTGATAAACAGTCAAGAAAGAATTCTGTGAAGGAAATGCTGGCCAACCCTTTCCTGTACTTACCAGTAAGTGTGTAATCTGCCACTGTAATATTTAGTCGTGTGACAGCAGTAAGGGGGCATACGCCACGCCAGGTCCACACAAGTAATATATCAGGTGTGTGATACTCTAGCTGACAAATATTATGAATGGCAGAAAAAAAAGAACAAGCCCCCTAATAAATCAATGGCAGTGTGTTTCCGGCCACACAGATTTATAAACAGGTATGCTTGACACACCTGGTCAATTCTCTTAAATATTGTTTTTCCTTTCCAAACACTAACTCCCCCTACATCCTTAATAACACGGGATGTTTTTATTTTTTTTCTTTAAAAGGAACTCTTACGAGTTGTAGCGACAGATCGTGTGACACATTTTTCAGCTTCAAAGAATCTCAAAGGGATAATATTTTGTCACAATGACCTCTCCCTTAAGTACAGTCATTGACAAATAAATAATGTTTACATGAAGTACAATAATATCATCTGCTCCCACGTAACCTCAGGCTTCTATGTTTAATTGCTTCATTCATGAAAAGAGCAGTTTTGCGAAAAAAAAATAATTCCAATATAAAATATTTGAAACATTAAAGTTTCTGTTAAACATTTATACAACATGTACACCAGAATATCCAGGGAAGATTTAGATTTTTTTTTTAAAGAAAGTCAAAGAATAAATCTTAACTAAAAGGAAAAAAAATTATTGTGGTTTCATATTCTGCAATATACCGGTACTAAGGTTTACAGACATATAAAATTAAATGCTAACTCTAGATATTACCTTTCTTAATTGGCGAAAAAATTTCCAAAACCACATTTCAAATAAATATTCTAAGGTCTTATTAAATAAACCTCTAAATTGACACTGAAATTAATTTTGATCTACTTTAGTTAAAACAAGATGTAATTTTCATCAGTTAGGAAGACTTTTGACAGTTTTGGGGTGGAGTTTAAAGAATGACGCCATTTTTGCGCTGTTCCTGCACCTAATGGATCTGTTTAAACTCTCCTATCCTCCAGTATCAAACATCAGGGGGGACATTCTCACCAACACTGAAAGACGGAATTGTCTAGGAGTGATATCCTACGTGATTTTCCTCACAGAAAATACTCATGCCATATCCTGGTCGTGTATTGATAAAAAAATTGAAATTGAACAAGCCGACATATAATACAATTGATGAAATATTTAAGGTGATTTCATTCTTAGATTTCATCTCAGCATTTGTTATTATAAAAGAAACTGGAAACCTTTGTATAGTTATAAAACCTACAACTCCCTCGCAAAGATATATTCCTCTACCTTTTACACACAGCTGATCATGTAGTATATTAAAATCACTTGTTTTAGTAATGGACAAGATTATATGCATTACTCCCTCATATCTATTTTTGACATCAAAGTTTTACTAGTTCATTATTGAGGCTTACAAGTGCTATGAATTTACTATTAGTGGTTCAGATTTTTGGTGTCTTTTGCTATTTCCATAAGTCATTAGATGGTACTAAATTTAGAGATGACGATTCTACATGAAGATCAAGAGACAGCCAATATGTGAGCACATCGTGCCTAAAAATACACTTCTAATTATAAGATAATTAACCTTAAATCACAATCCGTAAATCCCCCCTCACAAAAAATCATCACAAGTATGACATATTTCAAGCCACATAACTAAGAATAAGCAGCCTAATTCTAGTTTTCAATTATTGATAATAGATCATAAATGTATCATAATATGCTGATTAGCACCCCTATCCAAGTCAGGTCAGAACATTACTTATTTCCATGATCCAATAAAAAGGGATAATTCTTAACAAGAGGCCCAGGGGCCACATCGCTCACCTGAGCAAATCGTAGGAAAAAACACAAATCAGATCAAATCTGAAAAGTTTATTAAAGGTGAGGGGGGGGGGGGGCTTGAATTTAAAACTACTTAAGAATGCTTTCATACTAATACAGCATATGACTTAGCTGTTCTTGATAAAAAGATTCTTTAAAAACATTTTCTTCCTATACTATCACTAATCATTGCTTTGAAGTACTTGAGAAGAAGATTTTTATAAAGATTTTTCCTTTATATTCCTATGTAAAACTTTGATAAGCCATTGTGGCCCCACCCTACCCCTGGGGGTCATGATTTGAACAAATTTGAATCTACACTACCTGAGGATGCTTCCACATGAGTTTCATCTTTCCTGGACCAGTGGTTCTTGACAAAAAGAGTTTTAAAGATTTTCTCTATATACTCCTATGTAAAAGTTTGATCGGCCATTGTGGCCCCACCCTACCCCCAGGGGTCATGATTTGAACAAACTTGAATCTACACTACCTGAGGATGCTTCCACATGAGTTTCATCTTTCCTGGACCAGTGGTTCTTGACAAAAAGAGTTTTAAAGATTATCTCTATATACTCCTATGCAAAACCTTGATCAGCCATTGTGGCCCCGCCCTACCCCTGGGGGTCATGATTTGAACAAACTTGAATCTACACTATCTGAGGATGCTTCCACATGAGTTTCATCTTTCCTGGACCAGTGTTTCTTGAGAAGAAGACTTTTAAAGATTTTCCCTATATACTCCTATGAAAAAGTTTGATCGGCCATTGTGGCCCCACCCTACCCCCCAGGGTCATGATTTGAACAAACTTGAATCTACACTGCCTGAGGATGCTTCCACATGAGTTTCATCTTTCTTGGCCCACTGGTTCTTGAGAAGAAGATTTTTTAAAAATGCCATTAATTTTTCACTTATTCATAATTATCTCCCCTTGGAAGAGGGTGTGGCCCTTCATTTGAACAAATTTGAATCCCCTTTACCTAAGGATACTTTGTGCCAAGTTTGGTTGAAATTGGCCCAGTGGTTCTTGAGAAGACGTCGAAAATGTAAAAAGTTAACGACAACGACGACAACAACAACGACAACGACGAAAGACAACGGACAAATTTTGATCAGAAAAGCTCACTTGAGCCTTCGGCTCAGGTGAGCTAAAAATTACACAGCAAAACTCATGTCTACAGGTCAGATTTGACTGAACTGACTGTTCAGTTTTGACTAGCTTTCCCCCCGTGTCTACAGGTCAGTTTTGACTTTACTGACCAGTCAGATTTGACTGGACTATAACCACATGTCTACAGGTCAGATTTCACTAGACTAAATGGTCAGATTTCACTAGACTGATCTCATGTCTTCAGGTCAGATTTGACTAGACTGATCTCATGTCTTCAGGTCAGATTTGATTAGATTGACCACATGTCTACAGGTCAGATTTGGCTGGACTGATCTCATGTCTACAGGTCAGATTTGGCTGGACTGACCACATATTTACAGGTCAGATTTGACCGGACTGACCCTATGCCTGCATGATGTACTTCTGTTTAAGATCTGTCACTCTGACCCACTAACTTACTAACATTTCTTTAAGTGTGTACGTGACAGGGATCAGCAGGGATCTTCCAGAATTCCACCACATGTGGTGGGCACTATACTGACACCGTACATGAATGCAGAGACACTAATCACATTGTTCATCCATCTCCGAGTAAGAACAGAAATCTTAAGTTTACATTTATCAAGAGCCATTCATCAGCAAAAACAGATAATTCTTCTTCCTATTGATTTCTAAAATATTTCCATGTGTTATAAGATAATATTGAATTGAAAAAAAATATATATATATAGACCACACAAAAAATAAAATGTTACAAATTTTGTTCATACATACAAAGATAATGATTGAAATAATTTAACATGCAAGAAATTCAAAATATAACATATTTAAGTTCTAATTCTAAAAAATAAAGTAGGTTTCAGTACAATACATGTATTTAAAATAAAGAGTAAACAAAAAGATTATGAAATAAAAATGCATTCAAGACAAAATGAAGAACAAATTAATTCTCTGTATATATACTAAACTAAAAATGAAATGAAAAATTCTAAGAAATACAGCAGTCTTACTGTGAATCCCTATTTCATCCTTTCCCATAGTTTTACGAAAACCTTATATATTATTGAGGCTTGTATTGCGGCATTACGCAAATAATCTTTTATTAACCAAAAAAATAAACTGATACTACTGATTATCCATAGCCATTTCACAATAATTACGCAATAATATTGGGGATAGATTCAGTACACAATTGTGGCTATAAACAAATTAATCCTTCACCAAAAGTTTAATAAAATATTACACATTTTTTCACTGAATAATTAATAAATGATATGACGTAAATAGGAAAGGGAGACCATATGGCAAACTGCATTCTGGGACCACTCATCTAATAACATCGCAGCGCTGACACTGTGCGAATCATTATCAACCCATCTTCTATTGACGTTGTGCTCTGTTGTCCTTTTACGTTGTTGCCCAAACAATACATATATCAAATAATTATTCAAAATATTTACACAAAAAGAAAATGTCAACCCATTTTTCCTTTGTTTGGGATGTTCATTAATCTCGATCAACAGTAATTAAACTGCTTTATTGAAAGGAATAATGTGTTCGTATTAAATACTCAGGAGACATCACATGCAAAATCTACGCATCATTTCATCTCAAATTTCATATTGTCCTTAAACAAAATAAAGAAAACATGGAATGAATATTTACATCAGATTTTAGAAATTTTGTTTCTTTTTTATGATAATACAATGCCAGGTATTAACATTCACCATAAGAAATGGCAAATAAACTTACCGTAATTGTTTCAATTCCAATTGCCAATATGTCTAATGCCAGATTTTTAACAAGTTATAATTAAGTAAAATACTAAATATAGGTATATGAACAGTAAAACATGATTAGAACAAAGTGCCAGGGCCCAGGGACAGTCAATTCTGCTTCGTTAATTCATTATATCTGTGAAGTTTACAATATATTTTGAACTCACAGGGAATAAAAAAACACTGCACTGTGTCCATTCATCATAACCGTGTGTGCTATATAAGTGTGTTTAATACTGTATATATTTATAATATATATAGAGAGAGAAAGAGAGAGAGAGGGGGGTTGATTTGGTACTAATATTTAAGCCTAATTAAATATATGTATTTTCTAATGAGATGACGAATTCCAACTCACAGCAGCAGTTGATAAATTATTGAGCCATAATTGATCAAATTTAGGAAGAGAATGAAGTAAAAACCCGTTTTCAATAGATTTCAATATTTTACTGTTATCCAGTTACCCAACCTAAATCTGTTTGTACAGAAAAACAAATAGGAACTCCC